AAATTTTCCCTCGTTCCCCGTAAATGGGGGAAACCTCCAAAAAAATTACAAATTTAAAAATCGCTAATTTTCGAAATTTTTTCAATTTTTTTTACTAAAAACTGCCGTAACTTTTTCAAAAATGAACATATCAATATAATTTTTTTTTATATAGATGCTTGATGTCTTTACCTAACATTTGGTATATTTTTTTTGTAAATCTGACACTTAACCTGCCCACAGGGGGGGATTTAAAATGACAACTTTTTCACAAAAAATTTACTTTTTCAACATAACTTTTGAAAATGTTCCGGAAGGTCTGACACTTTTATATATATCTTAAATTAAAGCTAATGTAATATACTTTAATTTGAAAAAAAAAAATTTGACCTCTGGACTTGTCTTCATGGCGAAAATGGCTACCGAATGCTTTTTTCGTGTGAAAATTCTCGATTTTGTTATTTATATTATATTTAACTTTATAATGCTATAACTTATTGAAAAGTTTATGGATCCACACAATTTTTTTATGAGAAATAATATTTTTTAATAAACCCTTTTTCATTCGACATACTTTATCTTAATCGAGATATTAATAAGGAACCAGCAGATCAAGTAGCTTTTGGAATAAAACACCAATTTTTTTAAAATTAAACACTATCTAAAGATTTGCATCGAAGCGTTTATTTTTGATAGTGATTTTAATCACTGTCAGATATCATTATACTTGATCCAACTATGCCACGTCACCACTGTGCCGCGACCCCCCTGTGCTGGGTTTTTTAATTCAATTTAGAAAAATATAAAACTAAATAAAACTTTTATTCTTTTGACAACTAGATGTTTCAAACTTGAAAATTATATGATTCAAGTTAAAAAAATTCGTATAAAATTTTAATCGAACATTACAACAAATAGCCGAAAAAATATCTGAAATGACTGAAAATTTATCAAATGAATTTTTTTTCTTCGGATAGTGAAAAATTGTTTAGCGATGTTCTTTAAAATGGGCCACAATTAGAAAATTGTTGTCAGTCATATTACAAAAAAATAATATTAGTAATTTTATTAGTAATTTTATTATTATTGCCAAGAACGAAAAATATAATGCTTTTTATTAATTTTCATGTGATTATAGATTATTCTTAATGAATTTAATGTAAACATTAATAAATTCCTGACTTATCTTCATCGGTCCTTAATGTTTGTAAATTTAAATAATGGCCAGGTGATCCTATCCTATAGTATATGAATAGTGCAGTTGAAAATTAAATTACAATATAAAGACTAAGGTTTTTCTTAATGTTTATTACAAAATTATCTTTGTAGGTTGAAGGTATAACTTGTATACTTCACATCAATAATATTGACTATTTTGAACCGTTTGTAAATGAAAAATTAATAAATTGTTTTTTAATATTTTATTTTAGTACAAACTAAATCACTAGAATATTAATTTTTTAAATATATTTATTATATTCGTATTTTATTATAATTTATAATTTTAAAAGATAAAAATATTAGTTAGTTAAATAACTACAAAAATTAAACATATTAGAATGTACGAGGGATATAAATTAGCAGACTTAGAATACATTGTAACAGAACTGGACTATTACAAAGAAGTTGCTAAAAATGTATTGTACAAGAAGAAAATGTAAGTTTTTTTTTTAATTTTTAAGGCATTATAAATAAAATACTAGTTAATAATAGATATTTAATTTAAGATTGAGTATAATAATATAAAAAATGCTATCTACAGGTTATCAAAATATTACTAACCAGCTTTTATTTCCCCTGAAAAAAAACGACAGTTTTAGCCATTGCACTGTTTACACCTCAAATGACTTATCTAAAAATAAATTTATTAAGATGTTAGGATTTTTGTTTTCATAAAAAATAAAACATTAAAAACAAATTATTAATTTTTCATTTACAAACGGTTCAAAATAGTCAATATTATTGATGTAAAGTGAACAAATTATACCTTCAACCTACAAAGATAATTTTGTAATAAACATTAAGAAAAACCTTAGTCTTTATGTTGTATTTCTATTTTCACCTACACTATTTAAATACTATAGGATAGGATTTATGTCCCCAGTTAATCAATTGAAGATAATACCTGTGATATGTAATAACCAATCATTCTATGTCTTCTTTTTTTTCCTTGACTTAACTACTTGGGATTGACCACCCTTATCCAAAAATTCTATTTGACACGATCTCTCACATCTTCTACGCTCACATCAGCCCTCCTCATATCACATTTAATAACATCCCTTCATTTCTTTTTTAGTCTTCCTCTACCTCTTCGTCCTTCAACATTCATTCCTATAACTGTTCTTACAACCATTTATTCTCTATCAAGCCCATTAAATATATTATTTATCCTATTTATTAAAAGCTTTTATGTCCAATTACTGTACTATGCGTTAAATATTATCAATTCTGTATCCCATGTCAAAGATCACTCAGTAATATTATTAGTCAATAATAGACAGTTTATTTAAGATTGAGTATAATAACATACAAAATTCTATCTACAGGTTATCAAAATATTATAACTCACCTTTTTTTCCCCTGAATTTTGGAGTAAAATAATGAATTAAGAAGAAGTAAACAACTTACCTAGTATATATAAATAAAAATAGGGAAAATTTATGTATTACATTAACATGTTTAAATTATGAAATGCACATAATCTCTGTGATAACAGTATTTATAGTTAAGACTTAATTAAAACTTTCATGACTTATTTTTCATGAAATCCTCTAACATATTCAATAATTACCAACATGGATTTTAACTTTTAAAATGGCAAAATTAATATTTTTAATTTAGCATTTTTTTACATAACAATAACAATTTCAAAGTTCAAATTTACTCTCAAAAATTTGTTTTTAACTATTTTTTTTGAATATTAACATCTGTAAAATTTAAATGTTAAAAAAAATTTTACTCCGCCGTTTTTTACTATAACACGTTTAAAAAAATCTAATTTTTAACTTATTTAATTTAATTCTTTCTGATGGTATAAAATATTTAACTATGAATTTTTCATAAAATATTGTACTCTATTTTGACTTTTTTTGAAAAAAAAAAAATAAGATTGATATTTTATCATTAACTACTAATAATAAAACATGATGTTCACAATGTTTTATAAAAATAAATTAAATTATAATCTATACATGTTTATGAAAAAATCATTATTTGACGAAAACGTAGGATGTATTATACTTAATAGATCACACTGTATATTATATAAAACGAAATACTAATTAATATTTTTTTCTACTGTAGCCTTTGAATTTTTTACAAATGTAAATAATGATATACAAATGTATCACTATCTCTTAGAGAAGAATGTCATAATTAATTCAAATTTATTAATAATTAAATTTAGCTTTATTTTAAAATAAGCATTGATTGAATTTTGTTGGAAATTTTTAAGGTCAAAATATATTTTGCAAAAACTAAATTATAGTATAAATTAACAATATCTATTTAGCTGACAATAATAATTTTATTATTAAATGGGGTAATACAACTTGTCTTTACACTGTATTTGTCAGACAATATTTGTCAGACTTGCATGTCCACTGTCTCATTGATTAACAGATACATGTTATAGATAAGATCTTATGTCCCGTTGTTATATTAGATAGTAACACAATAGGCGAATATATTCTACATATATTAATGACTAACAAACAAATTAAAGCTTAATAAGTTAACCCTGGTTGTCATAGTTGAATGTCAAGATATTTGAGTTCGGTCAGTACCCTTTCAGTTAGGTCTTTGTTACGTTATAGCTTCGATACAAAACAGAGAAGGTATTAATTTTATTATGAAGATTTATTTTTATGTCTGTTGTCATTTTTCTCAGCTCTCAAAGGACGGATTTCTTTCAACGATACGTTAAAAGATCATATATTGTATCTAGTTAAAGGCATTGCTCTTAAAAATTGAAATTTTTTCCCTCGTTTCCTGTAAATGGAGGAAATTCTCGAATAAAATATAATTTTTAAAATTGATAAAGTTTGGCATTTTTTTTCTTAAAACTGCCATAACTTTTTCAAAAATAATTTTTTTTTAAATAGAAATTTTAGGTATTTTCCTTATATTTTATTTAAATTTTTTGAAAACTTGACCCTCAACCTGCCAACAGAGGCAGATTCAAAATAGCTACTTTTTCACAAAAAGTTTACTCTTTTAATTTAACGTTTGAAAATGTTCCGCAAATACTGCGTCCTTTAAACATATGTTAAACTATAGTTTATAAAGCTTGTGTTACGTACTAAAAAAAGAATAAATTAAAAAAAGAAAATTTGTCCCGACAACATATCTTCTATGTGCAAATGGTTGTCACATCCACACTATGCTGCGACCCCACTGTGCTACCGTTTTTTTAGTAATTTTATGAATTTACGAAAATACAATTTTTTTCAAATTAAGGAAATGCTTAAGTACCTTTCTTCAAGAAAAATGTTTGAATTCAATACTAATAATACCTAAGTCGATAAATATATAATATTGTGCATTATCCTCTACCACCAATAAGCAATTGTAAAATCAAATTAACATATAGTTTACTGCGTGTGTATAAAAAATCTATTATATGTCAAGGAAAGTTTTATACTACCTTAAGAGGAGTCTTTAATACACTTATATAGTATTATACTAAATATTTTCAGTTTAAAAATGTATCTAAAAGTAAACACTAACAGCAAAGAATTCCTTATAGTTTAATACTCATAGTTAAATCATTTGTATAGCTGAAATCTAAAAAAAATAAATATAGTTAGCCAGATATATAAATATAATATTCATTAATCATTTGACATTTTATTTTTTTAAAACTAAGGCATGACCAGTATTGCAATGTTTATCCACCTACTCAGGTTCAACAACCGTCTCCAATGTAATGATGACTGGTTAGCACTATTGTTGTATCTTGATTGATACACCTAAGTCATTGTTTAGTTTAATTATATTGATAAAACCATGTTAAATTTAACGATCTCCTGGGTCTTCGACTGTTACTATAAAAGCTCCATTACAATCCATTGTCATGGTCAGTATTTGAAAGAAGAACTCTAGTGTACAGAACAACATCAATATGATGATCCAAGTAAGAAAATTTTTTAATTTTTAAAATGCACATATATTTTAATGAGTACTTCAAACATTTTAAGATTTTTTAATAAATTAAACATATAACATAATATTTTACTCTAGCAATAGTTATACAACTGTTGTTAAAGCTATAATATAATGTATAACTATAATTTTCCATTTATGATATTCAAGCACGTGATTTTATTTTATTTAATACAGGATATATTATAACAAATATGTAACACATAACTATTTTTAGATTTTTTCGATTGTACTTGTGATAACTTCTGGTGCCCTTTGTAGCCTTACACAACAAGTAGTATCAAGTACCCAAGCTGGTCAAACTTTACAAATTCAACCAAATGTGAGAAAATACAATAAACACTCTTCTACTGAAAGTAAGTACTTATTTTACAAAAGCATCCTAAATATTGTTAGCTAGGAGCAAATACTAGCAATATTTATAAAAAAAAACATTAGTTCTTAAATTTTGTATCATAAAAAGTTAGACTGATATTCATTTTGTAAAAAAGATAGGACGAATAGCGAATTCATTATTTTAGGATATTTTGCTTCATTATTTAAGTCAATTTTTTTCATCATATTTATTTAGCTAAAATTTAAAATATTAGTTTCGATTGATCAATTTTTATTATATATTTATATAACTGACTAACTTAAGTTTTCTTTAGATAGAGTCATAAAAATAATAAAAGACCTAAAAATTAAAATTTTTTTTTTACATTTGTTCAAGAATTTCATATTTTGGAAGAATCTAGTCATGTTTAATATATATTTTTTAAAGTATAATAATATATTTTTAGGTCCTACTGGTACACGAAAAGACAAGCCTGAATCGTCAGATAGCCTTGATTACGCGCCCATTGCTACTACGCCTGGATATCCTTACGCATACCCATATCCCTATCCATATCCTTATCCTTACCCAGCTGTGAATCCAAGTAGTCTATATATTCCACCCATTGGTAATCAGTATCGTTACCCTTATCAGTTTGACCAACAATTTCCTATTGATAGCCCACAACCAGCACCTTATTATACGCCATATCCGACACCTTACTATCATCCAGCACCTTACCCACCACCTTTATACGAGCAACCAAACGTTATTGATGCTTACCGCACACCGTTTCTAGCTTACCAACCAATGGACCAAGGTCATATATATAGGCAGCCTTCATTTTATTATTCAACACCTTCGCATGTACGGACCCATTCGTATAACCGACCTACAATAGCACCCCAACAACGTGAATCTACTGAACAAAATGAACAACCACAACAAAGTACATTTGAAAATAATCAGCAGTTTCATTACTAATATTGTAGAACATGTAAAAAGTATTGTACTAGCATTTAATAATATCTAGCAACGTTATATGATATGGATTTAACTTTGTATAAGTATTTTGTTTAATTACAGTTTTATTTATTAATATTATTATTTAAATTAGTAAAAAAATTAGTTTTTATCTAATTGCAATAAAAAATTTTCAGTTATAAATAATATGATGAATCAAATATATTGAAACAAGGTTATTATTAAAAATCCTAATAAATTTTATTGTACTATAAATAAAATATCGTTTATTTTGTTTGTTCCTTTTTACTGATAACTAAAACATAGTATAACCAATAACAATCAATGTTGGGTAAATTATTGTTTTTTTAGCAATTAAATTAAATTACATGTTAATCAATAAAAACTACTTGAAAATCACACAATGTAATTTTAATGAAGTTCAAAACGATAAAAAGTGTTTAATTGTAATAAACAAAGTTATTTTTTTTTTAATTATAAGTCAAATATTTATTGAAGAAAAGGATTTAAGAATAAGTACGAGTAAGACAGAATATATAGAGTAGGAAGAGAATACGATGTAGGGGAAATAGGGAAACCAGTGACAATAGACGAGGACGTGATTGAAGAGGTGGAAAGTTTTAAGTATTTAGTATCAGTTTAGCAAATGGTTTGGTCATTTTATGAGAAGAGAAGAATCGGAAGCCTTAAAAACAGTTGTAGAAATGAATGTTGAAGGAAGAAGAGGTAGAGGAAGACCAAGCAAGAGATGGAGACATGTTATTGAATCCGATTTAAGGACAGCTGATGTGAGAGACTTTGTCAAGTGGAAGTTTAGGATAAGGATGACCGACCCCAAGTAGTTGGGATTAAGGCGGGGAAAAAGAAAAAGAAAGAGTCAAATATGAAACATTGAATAAATTCACCTATAGTAGTATTAATTCTAATGAGATTTCACTATATTAATTTAAATATATTTCAAAATAAATATATAAATGTAAAATTAAAGCAAAATTTTGGTTGTAGCAGATAAGAAAATATTTTAAAGTGATTAATATCAAATCATCCTGAAAATTTGTAATAAATTTATCATTAATTACTTAATTTTTTCTAAAAAAATTATAATCTTTAGATTTATTTATTTTCGTTTAGTATTTATTTTTTAATTTATGAGTGGTTAAATATTTTTTAGGTCTAAAAATTTAACAATTAAGAAAATGGCTCGTCAATTAACTCGTCAACAAGTATTTCAAAAATGATTAACAATTTAAAACATAGACTAGAACGATGTAGGGTTTATTTCGATAAGAAAAACTAAGTTGTAACATCCAGAGGATCATATTATTATATTATTATTACGATCACGCCACGATAAAACACTATTGATAAAAGTAAAATAATGATAAAAAGACGTAATATAGTTTTTTAACTACAGCTTTACAAATAAATTTCATACTTATATACTTCTAGTCTTATTTTTATAAATAAAAAAATTGAATAGTTATAAAAATCTTATAAATGTCTTCAACAGTATTCTTATACTGTACAACTTTATAATTAAATAACAAACATTTTCGCAAAAAAATTAACTATATAATAAAACGTAAATCTAAAATATTTCCAAGAGTATCATTTGGATAGGGAGCAACTTAGGAATTAGCTTGGGTCTAAATTTTCAGTACATATCGTAGTCGCATAGTGTTATAAAATACAATTTTAACAGGACAAAATTAATAAAAGTCAAAATCTCTACTTTTGATTAAAAACGAGGATTAACAATATCTAATATAGAAGTTGGTGGATTATTCCAAAAGCAACATCAACTCCTATTTCCTTAATTATATCCTGATTAGTAATTCTTTGATTTATAAGCATAATAATGAATAAATAATAATTATAGTAATTAAATTTAGTATGAAATTGATAATAAATAAATTAATATTGTAATTTTTACGGAGAAATAATGAAGTACTTGTTACCTTATGGCAAATATGTATAAAAATTGACGGGCTTGATGTAATACTTTTCAACAAGAAATTGCTTGGTTCTTAAAAATAAATTTACTGGTTTACAAGGAATTTTCATCAGAATCAAAAATATACTTGTCTAAATGAATTTTATGCGCTACTATTAAAAATGGTTACTTCAAAATAATTTGTTTTAATTAAATATCTAAAAATTAATTAGATAGTATTAAGAGTTTCTTATAGATTTAAAATACAATAGATAAACATTTATATTTCAAGTCGGTAGGTGTCTCATTTCATTAATTTAAATGATAATTACGAACACCTATAAGTGATTTTGTAAAAATATCGTTGAATATTAATTAGTGAAAATCATATATTTTTGAATGTGTTCTAACTACATCGATTATAAGATTTCATAGGTCTTCCATAGAAGATATATCTTCTATTGACATTGTATAATCGAACTTTTTGGTTTTCGAATAGCGAGATAACTAAATAGAAAAAAATTGGGATAGCTAATTTAATTTATCCTTTTAATATTCTTATTTAACTGGTAGACTAAGATCTCATAGTTTCACTAGATCAAAACAACTAGTCATTTGTAACTCAATTAAATCTTTTTTGGATTGGTGTAACACAAAAGTAAAGTTTTGCATGAGGACTAAATATTAACAAATTTCTTCTAATTAATATAACAAATATTTACGTTTGATTATTAGATTATGTAGGAATAATCAATATATATTTTAATTAAAAAAATACATTACTAGCAGAATATATTATGTGTTGTATATTAATATAAATAATTATTGAATATTAAATAGATAAATTAAGTTCTAATTTGTACTCAAATATTTCATGATTTAAAATTGTCCTGTACAAAGGGCAAATTTAAAGTTGAAAACATAAAAAATGTTGACACAAAAATAGCACGTTTTTAACTACGGCAGCCATTTATACATAGAAAATAAGTTGTCGGGACAAATATTCATTTTTAATTTATAGTACGTAACATAATCTTTAATTTAACATATGTTTAAAGGACACAGTATTTCTGGAACAATTTCAAAACTTAAGCTGAAAAATTTTAATTTTAGTGTAAAAATTGCTATTTTGGATTCCCCCCTTTGAGTGGTTAATGGTCCAGTTTTTAATAATAATATACCCAAAAGAGAGAAAAATATTCAAGGTGTTTATATTTAAAAAAGAATATTCTGATTTGTTCATTTTTAAAAAATGTTTTGGCAGTTTTAAGAAAAAAATTTTAAAAAATGATGAATATACCGATTCTAAAAATCATAATTTTTTGGGGAAATTTTGATTACTTACGGAAAACTAAGGAAAATTTTCTATTTTTGAGAAAAATATCTTAAACTAGATACTATTTGTGATCTCTTGATATACCATTGAGAAAAATCGAACCAGTGAGAACTGAAAAAAAATATTGACAGACAAAAAAAAAATACATTATGGTAAATATAATACTTTCTCAGTTTCGCATCGAAATTAAAAATGTCCTTTGAAGTAAATGGACGTAATAATTTTAAATTATCTGACTAAAAGTTTTATTGGCCAATGTATTTTTCAAATTTATTTCAATTTATTTGTTTTTATATAAATTTTTCTTCTTGTTTCCTTGACTATAAATTTATATTGTTTTAGTTAACATTTTTTAACAGTCACGGGCGATTTAGGTGTGACACGGAAAATTTCTTAAGCCCGAAAACTCCACAAAAGTTGTTCAAAACTTCTTTAATATTTGATTTTTTGTAGTCAGATATTTAATTTATATCTCTGCACGAAAAGTTAAATATGAAAATCAAAACCAAAAAGGCTTTTAGCCATCTAAAAACCGGACATAGAAAATCAAATTACATTCTCCTCAACATACGTCCAAATCGTCATTATATTGGCAAACTTCCAAGTAAACGTAATATTATAAAATTTTATAAAGATCTTTTAACATTACGTGAAGACGAGGATACAAGGATTCAAAAGATTGAAATTCGCAAGACGTTTGAATCAAAGAAGAGACCTCATCTCGACGATTTTAACGATTCATGTAAAAAACTTAGACTAACAAATAACTATGAAGACCAAATAAATAATTCTTATACTCTTAATTTAAATCGTAAGAATAATACTCCTGACAAGTTAAACGCCGAGATAACTACTGAAAACAAATTAATTCCAATTAATAAGGAAATACCATCCGAGGATGTCAAAGATATAAGTAAGATTAATTTTTTTATATTAATATGTTTTGTTCTTAATACACAATTTATATATTTTACAAAAATATTTATCAAATAATTATTTATAATTTTTAAATTTATAGATCCGATTGTATTGATTGAAAGAATTCCTCAAAAAATTATAGACTACTATGTGGCTAGTAAAAAAAATAATGCAGACGAATTAGATAAATTACTAAATAATACCCAGGAATCCACCAATATTAATGACTTAAAGCTTACACCAACAAACAGCCCCAAAGGCCAAGTAAATAATTCTTATACTCTTAATTTAAATCGTCAGAATAAAACTCCTGACAAGTCAAACGCCGAGATATCTACTGAAAACAAATTAAATCCAATTAATAAGGAAATACCATCCGAGGATGTCAAAGATATATGTAAGATTAATTTATTTTATATTAATATGTTTTGTTCTTTTTCTTATACTCTTAATTTAAATCGTCAGAATAAAACTCCTGACAAGTCAAACGCCGAGATATCTACTGAAAACAAATCAAATCCAATTAATAAGGAAATACCATCCGAAGTAGTCAATCATATGAGTAAGTGTCATTCTTTTTATAATAATATACGCATGTTCATAGGGTGTGTGGGTACAGTATGGTTGATCTCTCCACTCTTGATACTTTGTGTCCTGCTAATATGGCGATTTAAAACACTATACGGCCCCAATAGTACTGAAAATTTAGACTGGGGAAAATGCCTATTTGTCCCCACTCAAATGACGCTTTTGTTTTCCTTAAAAAAAAAAAATCAATTTCCAGTGTTAGAATGTGTATAATAGTTTGATAGTAACAGCTAATCAATTATTCATTTTATACTGTTATTAAAAATATATAAATAATATATTTTTTTAATTTTGTATTACTGTATTTTATAGTTACATTTTGTTTTAATATATCAAGTAATAAATTAATGAAGTATATTTCATAGAGCTTTAGTTTTTAATAGTTAAAATGGAGTATTTTTGATAAAATAATAATTTTGTTAAAATAATAACTTAATATGTACTTGTCCTAAAATTATCATCGACTCACAAAATTCTTTTGTAAGATAAAGCTGAATAATGGCTATTTCAAAATTTTGAAGAAAATAAAATTTCAACAAAATTATTGTTGTATTATAAATTATAAGACATATCAAAACATATATAAATTTAAAAAATTTGGGGGTAATTTTGTTAATTGACGGGCTTAGCACCTTCTTGTTTCCTAGTTGCGTCTATGACCAGAAACCCTAAATGAGTTCCTCAGAAACACCCTTTCAACACTAAGCCTGTTAAGCGGAAAGCAAAACCACATCATTTTAAAAATATTTTTCATTTTTATTTTTAAAATAACATATGAATTCTTATAAAATTATCATAGTATTTATTTATTTTCATAAATTCTTGTTTAAAGTTCCAGTGGTATTTATGAAAAAGATTTCATTATTTTATTTTATAATAATATAATTACTTTTTAATGTAAAAATGATTTATTTCGTATAAAATTGTTATCAAAAAATTAATTTATAATTTTGATATTTATAGATCCAGTTGTGTTGATCAAAAGAATTCCGCAAGGAATTATAGACTCCTATGTGTTTAATAAAACAATTAATACAATCGAACTAGAAAAATTAATAAATAACACCGAACTATCTAAGAATGTTGATGACATAAATAATTTTGATACATCAACTGATAACCTATAAAAAATAAAAAGTTATCTACGAATAGCTCTACAAAGAACGTTTCTAAGAAAAAACGATAAAAAAGATCTAGATTCATCTGATGAACTCATCTAAACTTTTAATTTTGATAAATCATGACCAAATAATTTACCTTATAACTCTTACATTTTTTGCCGCAGAAACTATAGATTTAATTTAAACAAATTTTTATTGAACTATACTTTGCGGATGACTCATAATTGTTGAAAAATCAACAGTGTTGTTTTAGAAACTTTCAAGTTAGTAATAATTTTTTATGAACTTTTGTTCAAGAATTTTCAATTTAATGAATAGTTTCGTTTCTATCAATCATTTTGTACATTACTTTTTTCTATTATATTTTTTATGTGCTATATGTTGTTCTAATCATAAAATTTGAATTTTTTTTTATTTAAGACCTAATGAATATTTTTGTCTTTAGATGTTTAATGATTACACGATGCATATATTTTTTTTATTTGAAAATTTTTTGTGCAATCAATATTTTTAATTGTTCTTTTTCAATTATGTAATTTAATTATTTTTTTAATATATTTTTGTACTTATTTGAAATTTGTAATTATTTAAATAAATAGCGATAAGATAATATTTTGCTAAAATATATTTAATAAGAACAAATATGTTTTTATTTTTATATTTTACAGATAATATTTTGTTATATACTACATATATACAATATTATACTACATCATAATTAATGTAGAAAAGAAATCTAAAAAGTAATAAAAAATTAAATATATTTATACTTATTGTTTAATTTTAAGATCTTTATTATAAAGTAATAATCAATATTTAATTAATACATAAATTCTAACGCTTTATTCATTAGAGAAAATTTTAGAATATTTATTATTGCTAGTTTAGCAAATAATTTTCAATGACACTTTTAAATGTAGTTGTTAGCTTAACATTAATTAGGTGGCCACTCTAGCTGCAACTTTTGCACCTAATCGCAGTTCGACCTATATGGCTGACCTGCACTGATTCTCCCTTCATTTCCCTGCCCATGTATATTAGGTTAAGTAAAAAATTTGTTGTTGAAAAAAGTTTAGTGTGTTAACTTGGAGTTTTTGATATGTCTGTGATATTATTTTTGTTAAATTTTGTTTTAAGAACAGATATTTTAAATTTAAGTTTCATGTTTTCATTTTGTGCATTTATTCTAGCAGAGTAAATTTTTTGTGAGAGTTAATTGTTCAATTTAGTTTTTTGTGTAATATTATGTTTTAAGTTTTACTCCAGGTGCCTGTCGCACTTGAGCAGTGCGCATATTTCTTTTAATGTTCTATCAATTTGTTTATTTGAATTGTGTTATTGTTGAGTAATTATTGAAATATTTTTGTAAGCATAAAAAATATTAAATAGGTTTATTTTTATTGTGGTTATTGTTTATTAGATTTCTTTGTGGTAGATTTATAAAATTAATATTGTTGTTATTCAAAAAATTTTATTATTGTTGTGCCAAAAAGGAAAATTTTAAATTAATTGTATAACCAAAAAAAAAAAAAGATTTATTTTTTTATAGTTGATCTATATATATTTAGTATTTATTTGTGCCATCGAGGCATTTTTTTTAAATATTTAGTTACCATTGCAGATAATTGTTTATTTATTATACAAGGTGTGATAAAAAAATACCCGGATTTTCAAATAAAACTTTATTAACTTAATTTTATTACTAAAAAAATCTACTAAAAATTTACAAATATTGTATTAGGTAAGTCCCGTTTAATAAATAAATAAATTATTCTATATACATATTATCACCTTCAAAATAATCTTCCTGGAAAGCAATACACCGCTGCCATCTTCTTTTCCACTTTTGAAAACATTCCTGGTAGACACTAATTGGAATGTCCTTTAGATCGATTTCCGTATTTTATTTTATGTCATCAATTGTTTGAAAACGACGTCCTTTGAGCGTAGATTTTAACTTCGGAAACAAAAAAAAATCGCATGGAGCCAAGTCGGGTGAGTATGGTGGTTGTGGAACTACTAGAGTCTGATTTTTTGCTAAGAACTGACGAATGAGCAATGAGCTGTGAGCCGGGGCATTATCGTGATGCAACATCCAAGAACGATTTTTTCAATTTTTTGGCCTTTTTTTTTTTTCTAACATTTTCACGTAATCTTTTCATGACTTCTAAATAAAAATGCTGATTTACTGTTTGTCCTTGCGGCACCCATTAACGATGAACTAAACCACGAAAATCAAAAAGGGTGATTAACATGGCTTTCACATTTGATCGCACCTGCTTTGCTTTTTTTGGTCTAGAGGAATTTGCTGACTTCCACTGGGACGATTGACACTTGGTTTCAACATCATAGCCGTAAATCCAAGTTTCATCACCAGTTATAATATTTTTTAAAAAGTCTAGAAGTTTCTGCTCTTTCATAAAGTTCTTGAGAGATTGTCTTTCGGTTTTGTTTTTGTTCATGGGTTAAGAGACGAGGAACAAATTTGGCTGTAATTCGGCTCATGCCCAATTCTTTGGTTAATATTTCTTGGCAAGAACCATAAGATATTCCGACGTCTTCTGCAACTTCTCTGATAATTAATCGACGATTATTTCGAATAATTTCACGAACAAGAGCAACAATTTCTTTTGTTTTACTGGTCGAGGGTCTACCAAGTCGTTCGTTATCCTTAATGGACGTCCTACCTTCCTTAAACCTTTTAAACCACTCAAAACATGTTGTCCGAGACAGATCATCATCTCCAAAAGCTTGCTTCAAAAGTTCAAAAGTTTTACTTGAACTTTTCCCTAATTTAAAACAAAATTTTACGCACACACGTTGTTCTTCTATTGTTTTTATTTCGAAAATCGACGCATAACAGAAACATGTTTTCGTAAAAATGCCATAAAAAAAATAAATGTTGTTATCGATTTCAAAATTTCAAACCAATGCTCAAATTCTCGTTAGAAGTTACTTTATTGAATGAAATTATCTGAATTTTGTTACCTTATTTGATATAAATATTATTAACACAGTCCGGGTATTTTTTTATCACACCTCGTAGTTCTGTAAAATTGCATTTTATTATAAAATTATTGATTTTATTATTATTCTTAATTTTAATTAAACATATATTGTTACCTGGCCATTTCACTCCCTTGATTAGTGTAAGCGAACCCTCCCTATTCAGGGTACTTGCGTTTTGGTCAGAAGATCCTTCCCTTTCCTTATACAGTACACTTGTAAATATAGTCATAGGTGTCGGGATAAGTGGCATAAAATATGTAGATCCCGCCTTAATAGTAGTAGTAAAATATTACTACTACAAATTTTCAACAGTTGTAATTTTTTCAAATTTTCATTCTTCACTTTGTCTGGATGAACACTAATTTTTTCTTGATAAAATTATTAACTGTTATTTTGATTAATCGACATTAATACAGAAATGAGATTAAACAACATGTTAGTATGAATTTGTTTGATGTATTCATAGAAATATAATGCATAAAAGACATTTAGAGTTGAACAGATCAATGTGACAAAAAATTGATTCCTAGATAATTGAACTTAAAATTGTGAAATACTATTTTCTAAATGCAGTTGGGTTTGGTAATTAATGAAAAATAGTATTATTCATAAAAAATCTACTTCAAATAGTAGTTATTTTGCTTTTAGTATTGAACTTGACTTATTTATTCTCCAAAATGTCACTGTCAGTGACGAATTTAGGAATTATGCTGCGCGAGATGCTTGTACCAGTACCTTCTCCTTAAATTTCTGGCTTTAATTTGAGTGCATCATATCATAATATCTGTTACATAATATAAAAGTTTATTTAAATTTATGGTTGTATGAATTATTTACTTGTTATCATAAGCAATGTTCTTATCATTTTTGCAGAGGTTTATCACCTAAAATTGATAATTTTGTGTCCGTGCTTGTTATCACTTATAATTTTATTTTTTTTTTTTGTCATAAAAATTTACCAATTTTAATCAAATTATAATTAAAGTCAGAAAATACTTTAATTATACAATAAAATTAAAAAAAATGATTTTTTGAATTTTACTTCAATAAGAAAAGTATTAAGAAATTTTATTTGTATGTAGAACTAAATATTATTTTTGAAATTTTTTTACAAGTTTCATGTTATATATTTAATGTTTAATAGGTTAATATAACATTTATTTTATAAATATTAAAATTTTGGTATTTTGCTTTTAAATATAGTAGACTGCCATTAGATTAATTTTTTTTAATGAGTCGAAAACTAAGCAGAAAAATGTCAAAGTATGAATCGATACTTAAAGTAGAAATGAACATTGGGTCAAGCCATGAACCAACTAAGGTAATATATTACTTGGAATTGTTGTACCTTGAAACAGCAAACAAATGTTTATTTGTAATGTTATTTAGTTTATTTTATTAAGAGATACTCCTGTATGTTTTGTAGAGTAATCCATCAAGGTATAAAGTTTTGATTCCATAATGTTTTTTTTTATCATCATCATTACTTATAATGATATAGTCGTTATTTAGTTATTAAATGATATAGGATAGAAAATTTTATGTAAATATTGACTACAATTTTATTTTTTAACTTTTTTTTAGTTGAATGCAGTTAAAGTTAAAACAATATTAGAAACTTAATATAATATAGCACTAAATTATATTGTCAATTTATATACATTTTCTTTTTTAGAATATAATGATATGTAACCGTGGCTTAGTTGATGGACTTGGTAGAAGTCAATTAGTGAAATTATTTTCACAGTTTGGAACATTAGAAAATGTTGTTATGTTGCCTTTCAAATCTTATTGCTTTGTTAGTTATTTTAATGTTGATGATGCAAAAAAAGCATTAAATAATATTAATGGTAAAAAAAATGCATTATTTGATCATCAACTTGTGTATTTAATTTACACAGAATCAGGTAAATTAGGATTATTAATTTTTTGTAATTCAATTAATTTGATTATATTTTTTATAGTGCCAAAAAATGTAGAAATTATTTATGATTTACCACCGGGTTTAGAAATAATTGATAATTTTATAACAGATAAGCAAGAAATTTTTTTGCTCAATTTTTTAAATGAACGATGGATAAATTCAAGTATTACTATTTTTAAATAAAAATATAGTCTTTATTAATTTATAAATTTTATAGGTTGTATGAAAAATCGACAAGTGAAACATTATGGTTATGAATTTGATTATGATAACAATGGTGTTAAACAGAATAGTTATTGTGATCCTATTCCAAAAGAGTTTGAATTTGTGTTAAATATCATTACTTTAAAATTAAATTGGTATCCAAATCAGATAACAATTAATCGTTATTTACCTGGACAGGGTACGCTTGTAATATTATATGAAGTTATTTTTAAAAACTTTAATGTTTTATCTTAAAATATGTATAAGGTTTTTAAATAGGTATATTAGTAAAAAGATTGTACATTTCTGAAGAAAGGGAAGTTTTACTTATATGTTTCGATAAATTAAAAATTTACAATTTATTAAAGTTAGTGTGGCAAAAATATAATATATGCAAGACTTAAAAAACTTAACTAAGTAACTAAATACTGAGTAAAAATATAAGTTCGGGGTCACAAGAAGTCATGAATGCAATTCCTGAATAACGGGTTGCAAATGTATTTTTTGCATATTGTGTTTATAGAATATAAACATTAACATAAAATTTAGCCTAAATTATGTCCCCGGTGCTCAGACTAGTATACTATCACTATATACCCCAGCCCAACATCCCTACAGCAAAGTTTCCCTTTAATATTAATGTAATATACTCTGTTAGTAAAATATTTTACTGGAAAAGTATTTAAACGGGTAAACTTCTAAATTTACAGCAGCTCAATTTATCTCCTGAATATATGCAACTTCAACAATTTGCAAGTTAATTCTATAATAATTAGATAACTTAAAAAAAATACTTTAATATTGTATTTTTATCAGTTTATCTGTCAGATCTTGCTCTGTGTAGGATAAGTATTCATGTTATAATATTTTAATTAAAGAATATGTGTTTAAAATGTATCAACTTTGAGGTTTTATGGTCATTATAAGGAAATATTTTATTTATATTAAATGCTTTTTAAAAACATTGCTTAATTTATTTATAAACTTTACTTTTTGGTAATACTATATTTGATAATTATTTGGTTTAAGATTCATTTTTTAGTATAAAAATATTATACAAGTTTCTAAATTACAAACATTTTTGGTTTTTCAGGTATTCCTAGTCATATAGATACTAGAGGAGTATTTGATGATTATATTCTTTCTTTATCATTGGGTTCTGATGTGGTAATGGAGTATAAAAATGATATGAAACATTGTAGTATATTATTAAAATCTAAATCTTTATTAATAATGTCTGGGGAATGTAGAAATTATTGGACACATGGTATAACACCACGTAAATTTGACATTATAAATACTTCTAATGGGCCTGATGTATTTCAACGTGAAAATAGAACATCAATTACATTTAGACGTGTTATTTTAAATAGGAATAATATAAAGGTTTGAAATAGAATTTTTTTATTTCTATATTTTTAAAACTGTTTACTTTTAGAATAAACAAAATTTGTATCAAATACTGGAATGTGATAAAACATCATCTCACGAAACAATTAAAGAAAATTATAGAAGATTAATTCTTCAAGTTCATCCAGATAAAACTGTAATACAATCATCAAATACTGAATGTGCTCAGTTGAATGTTGCTTGGAATATACTAAAAAATCCAAAACTAAAAAAGGAATATGATGAAGAAATAGAACAAAATGAAATTGATACACAAGTTACAATATTTGAATCTTTACAATTACAAGACTTAGAAAAAAATATAGATGATGGAACACTATTTTACAGATGTCGATGTGGTGGAATATACTTTGTGCCGACATCAGAAATCATCAATATTTCTTCACCAAAACCTATACTGTTTCCTTGTGATGATTGTTCATTATTCATTGAATTAAATTTACCTGAACATATTACATTTTCTTGACAATAAATATTATTATTTATTTTATTATTTTACTTATTTATTATTAATATAATGCACAAAATTATTAAAAAAGTATATCATAAACACTTTTTATAAATTAAATTTATAGGTATGCACAAGACCCAAATATTACTTATAATACATAAAATGTAAAAAATTAATGTTTCATGACTAAATTCATTACTTATTTTTTATAAACAATTTACTAGTGTTTATTCTATAGGTTTTATAATGAAAAGAAACATAAAATGTTGGTATAGATTTTAAAAAAACAACAGGGCATAAATGGGAATTCGGGACAATTTATCAGTTTATAGAGACATAAGATGTAAGTAATTGGTAAAGCTTTTTAAATTATTGCTAGAATCAATAATGACCAGGTCTATGTCATCTCTCTTGGTTAGCTAGTATTTTTAAAAACTGTAATTGTAGACTTTCAATTTTTTTAATCAAATTCATTGATGAAGAGACCAAATTATTGACACATATTACAATATTGATTGTATTTAACTATATTTATTTTATAAGGATTCAAGACAAGTAGGTTTAGTAAATTCTTCAAAATTTCATTTAAGAAAGCCAAAGGTATTTAAAGCTTTATTGTACATAAGAGTTATTTGTTTGGTAAATGATAGGTCAGATGACAAAATAATAGCAACGTAATTCCAAAAATTGTCATGAATCTAGTATAATTTCATTAAAATTACAATTTCAGATTTAGTATTTTTGTAATTATTGGGATATAATATAAATTACAAAATAACATAAATGTTAAATATTTATTTTTCAGTGATTGACAAGGATCCAGAAAAAAACTGGCCTTACATAACGCAAAAATATATGTGGTTGTGAAAAATATTTAATTTATAGTAAAAGGAAACTTAGATTGTAGAATTAGTTATTTGAGCATTAGTACTCAAAATACTAATTTGAATTATATTGTCAAAAAAAATTGATTTCAATTTAATATTTAATAGAAATACTGTTAGGAAAGAATTAAAAGTTTATAATTCATATAAACAAGACTAATAAAACAATATATCACATAATAAATAATATTTCAAGTTTTACATCATGATAAAAAAACAGTATGAACTAAATTACTGCCCAGTTTAAATTTCAATTACTTTATGAAAACTATCATTCAATAAATTATCTAAATAGAAGTGTTATTAATTATTTCTATGCAAATCTTGGTGTTTAAATAGATTTATTATTAATATAAATATTATTTTTAAAAACTTTACCCTGAAATTTTAAATCTGATATTAAATTTAAAGTCGGTGATCTTTAAAACATAAAGTTAATAAATTTTTTAGGAGATATTGTATAGACAACTTTAACAAAAACTGATCCAATCATCGTAAATGACCGCAAACATCCTATGGATAAAAGTCCAATGGATGTTATAAAATTTGTAGCTAAAATAAACATAAACCATTAATTTAATTAAATAACATTATAACTTGGTGCAATGCCACCACTATAATTTATATGTGAATAATCATAAAGGGCAGTTCAATGTAATAATAACCTATTTAAACATTTTTCCTTCAATATTTTAATACTTGGATATTTTTTCACTTGTTTTTTTCTAAAATTTAAATATCATATTAAGTAGTTTTTTAATACAATAATTATTTTTTCTTCCAGATAATTTGGTTACGTGTGATACTCACTAACACGGTAAGAGTACATTTTGATAAAAATAAAACATATGTTTAACAATGATTTTTTCAATAATCTAAAGAAATTCTATTGAGTATTACTGTAAAAAAAAAGTAATATCGGAGATTGTTCTCTTTGAATATTTGTCAGAATTAAAATCATCATTTAAGGTAATGATTAATGAATTTTTCTGCATTTACATGATAGATTATATTTTTTAAGTACATTTAAACTAATTTTCACTTATTATTACTCTGTTGGTATATTTTTTATAATTGCACATAATTTTTGTCTTACCAATTCAAAAGTTATTTTATCTTATTATGTTCACATTTTAAGAAAAAAAAATTGAAACTGAAACTTATATACATTGATATATATTTAATATTGCAATCATTTATTTTTAAACACATTACTTCAATTATGTTTTTAACATGAAAACCAGTACATATAATAGTTGTTTAAAGTTATATTATAATAAAATTAATTTACTTTTAAGTAATAATTATTGTAAAATATATGGGATTCGTTTCAGCTAAATAAACTATACACTAAATACACCATTTAGTCTGGAAATGTCACATGTCCATAGCTAGATTGGTTATGGGTTACATTCTCGATTCAGATTTTGTTCCTATAATTTAATTCTTGCACATTTTTCCTTTATCAATAAGCTTGTTGTTCATAAATCCAGTTAAAATTTTTATAAATACTATTTAAAATTTTCATGAACTTGACTACATTTTTTTTATACTTATTCATTTATTAGTAGATTTATTTGTCGTTTGACATGAAGTATAACATCAGTGTTAATAGCTAATCTATACTAAAAAAAAAAGTTGTTTGTACTAAAAATTTATACAATTACTTCAAAATCATAGTATCAAAATCATTTATAATAGTATAAAGGAGAAAAAATAAACATTAGACCAGAAAATACAATTGAATATGGTAAAAATGTGTGTTCTTTTTGCATAACTGATGCTTATGACAACATCAGTTGTTTTTCAGCTTTTAGATTATATTACATTTCATATTTCTAAGACTTATTTAAATTCTAATCATTTAATATACAATATGAACTGTGGTCATAGTTTCAGTATAAATAATTGTAATATTAATATTATAATAGTAACTTTGATCAGAAAAACTGTTGGAAATAAGATGTCTAAAACTTTAGTTTGGTAACCTAAAAATTCTTAGATTTATATAAAAAATTAGTTAGTTTTAATTTATTAAATTAAATTAATAGTAATTGTCATTCATGTTTATTTATTTATTAAGCTATACATTCATAAGCTTATATAGGCATAAGCCCATATAAATCAGTTTTATACATAATGTAACATATTAATAGGATGTATAATATACAAATTATATTAAAACTAAGAAAAGAAAAAGAAAATGATTAATGTATGAGATATATGACAAATAAATCATAATTGTATAAAGTGTGATAGGTTTTAATCATAAATTTATATTTATTGAGAGATAGGAGCTTTCTCAAATAATTGGTTGACACAAAGTTCATTGAAAAAAGGGCAATAGATTAGGTATTTTTATTAAGAACACATATTAAAACTTTAGATAATAGGGGAGGCTAATCAATTGTCAATTTATGATCTTTGTGAATAGATTTATATAATAAGAGACAGGTTTTACAAAATATTTATTGCTCTATCAAATCTACACTATTTGTAATTTTACATAAAATTTGATGTATATAAGTTATGTACCAAATAATATGTTAGTTACTTATATAGTTAAACTAACTTTCAACATTTTGCTTAAATTGAAAAAGTGTTTAATTCAGTATTTCTTAGTGAATTAAAATATTATATATTTCTTTAACTATATAATTTTTATTTTTATTTAAATCTTAATTAAACATAAGATTTTTAACTGCTTTTCTTGATAATTTATTTTAAAAATATAAGTTAAATGTTTTAGTATAATGAATAACTATTCTCTTCCTAGAATAATGTGTAATAATCTCATAAATGTTAAATGTAAACTAATCATAAACCTAACATTTTTTTATAGATTTAAAATGTCTGCTTCAGCCGTTAGTCAAAAATTACCAAGACCGCAATTACGTGGTCTCTTTCATCAAAGAACCAAAATACATTTAGTTACAAGTGTTGTTCTCTCAATATTAGCTGGTGTTACTTACAAGTATACTGTTGGAGAACCTCGAAAAAAGAAATATGCAGAATTTTACAAGTAATTATTACTTGTATTTTAATTATTATTAAATGTTTTTTTCATAATTTTATTTTATTTTAGAAATTATGATGCTGATCAAGACTTTGAAAGGATGAGAAAATTAGGTCTTTTTTCTTCATGCCCAGCAGATGATTAAATGCCATTTTGCTATACAAAAATAGTTTATCAGTTGTTTATTATTATTTACATGAAATTAATGATTACACTTTCCTATTTAAATATAATTATTTTTATGTGTTAATTTTATTAAGACTTATAAATGTGAACATGTAACTATAATTATTTAAAATTCAATGTTCTGGTCAAGCCATAAAACAAATTGAATGTGCATATATTGTAATGTAGGGCAATATTAATAGTAAAGGTCAATAAATTGAGAAAACTAAAACTAACGTTTCTACTAAATTTTATCAAAAGTGAAATTTTACTTAAAATTCTAATTCTGAAACACAATTTAATAATTTTAATTGATTGTTAAACAATTAGCATTTATCTGCATTGTTCTCATAAATTATTCCATGGCTATTTATTACTTATTTGATAAATATATAAGTGCTATTTACTAAAATAGCATGAATAAGAATTAATAATGAAACTAATAAAAGTAATATTTAATTTGCATCAAATATTAGTAATTTTTTTAAACGAATGCGGTTGATTTTTTTCGTTAATTTCAGGGGTGGCAACATGCAGACTTTCGTCATGACGGGAAGCCTGTACGTCAAGGGTGAAAATCTCACCTGAGATGTCTTTTACGATTTAAGTCGTCGTTTTCTCAGCCATGTAAATACTAAAACCTTTTTTTGCGTTTGAGATAGTTATTATATTTAGTATTTTAATTTTTTATAATTAAGTTTAAAAAAAGAATAGATATTTTGAATTTATAATTTTTCCTGACCGTCACAATAAACTGCGTATGTTATCACAGTGTAACCAACGTGCCTGTTACCACTGATGTATCAGGAATTTTTATCACAATCTCACTTATTTATGAAATATAACTTCCGAAACGAAAAAAATAAATGGATATTTATAAAGAATTATCAACTAAAATCGTATAAGTAAATAATAATAGTACTAATTTTTTAAAGTTACAAAGAAATTTAAATATACCACGGTGTCATGGGGAAATATAATTTACCAATTGGTTGGCTGTACTGTGACGGCCAGTGATGTGCATTGCAAATGGCCGCTCTTGTTATTGTTCCGTAGTCCTGTAGCGTTTCGCGATTTAACACGATAATAAAACCCCTGAGTTACGGAATCCCGTAGTCGCCCCTAAAGTTATATTGTGCGATCGCTTATACATTACGGACAGTGTTTGTGCGTCAACCGATCTTTTAAAAGCGAATGTTAACTTGAACAGAGCGGCGTTTTATCCGTGTGCGCGCGAGTGTTAGTGTGTACGCTAATAGTATCGGATGTTGCCCATCCATTGGATTACACGATCAAAACTATGTACGTAATAATAAATCGGGTAAGGCGAACGCCACTGATTTTAAAAGTTTAGTTGTTCTTTGAGTAATTAATGAAGATATTAAATAGTCCGTTAACTGTTTACGGGCGTTTTGGTCCCTTGTCTTGACTAGACGGTGGGTGTACCTCCACTCCCCGTGCATGCACAAAATGGTGGTCGGGATCCCCTCGCCGCTGTTTAGACGCGCGTTCTTGAAAGCCCGTGTATCGAATAGTTTAATTTAATTGTAGACAATTTATTACAAGTTCAAAATTCTTTTATGAAACACATCCTCTTAATTTGATTAATATAATTAGAACTTAAAAGTTCAGTGTTCTTTGCTACTAGGAAAGTTATGAAACTTTATCCTCCTTCCATTCAATTATGCTATAGTATGAAAAGAATTAAGAACTATGCATTGAATTTAACCAATTATTGAAAACATTTCAGTTTATATTCTTTGCGTTTTTTGTTTTCTTAATCTTATAAAAATAATATTCTAAATTTTCTTTTAAAATTGTTTAACGGTAATAACGAATTTTGGATGTTTGCTTGAGGTGTTAGGGAAATATTACATGATTATTAATTTAAATTCTGATATACTTGTATATTTTGTTTTTCTAGGTAAAAAGTATTTGAGAAATAACATAGATATATTATTTAATAATAGTCTTTGTTATTATTCTATTCATATGATTTAAATATTACTGATAAATTATATAACGTGTTTCAACAAACTATTAATTTTTTACATTTATCAATTTTACTGTCACTAAAAAAATTAAATTAAAATAACTTTTGATATAACTGGATATTTTCTCATTTTTTAGTGATTTAGGAATCATAAAAATCTAAATACTGAATACTTAACTCTGTATTCTATACATCTATATTTTTATGATATTAGTTTTTTTAATTAATAGATTTGACTGGTGAAAACATCATATGAAGGTAATAAAATCCTCTTTTACGAATTATAGAACTAGAGTTTTGAAAAAAAAAAAGTGGAAATAGCCAGTTTTTAAATTAAAACATTGTACTACATACAATGTTTTTTTATTTACTTATTTACAAATATTAATCTTGTAATATTGAATAAATGAATTGTTATTAAATGTATACTAGTTAACTATAAATGGTACAATAACTAAATTTACTAAATGTTAATTTTACATTTAAACTTTTGTGTTATTTATATAAAGATCAAAAATAATTTTATCTACTTTTAGAAATAATTCCCTTATAATTTTGGTGAAAATTATACTTTTATATAAACAATTTATCTATTAAATCTAGCAGAGTAAACATGCTTCTACAAATTATCCAGCTTAATTACAGTAAAACTTCAAATTGATGTTAATCATATGTGATTTGTTTAACATTTCATTGATTTTTAATTTATTTTAAGTGTCCTAGTATATACAATATTAGTTTAATTTTTGTTTTCTAGGTTAAACTAATATTCTACAAACCTACTTCATAAGAGCATGGAAGGTCTGATTATGGTAAGCTTTATGATTTATTTATAATAATTTTTATATTTTTTAATAATATCTTGGTTTTTAGTGAAATGGCCGCAAACAGCGATGGTACTACCCAGCTGGTTAAAACCGTTGTCACATGTGAAGGGGATCTGAACGATCCTGAATTTAATTTAAGGTTTAATACAATTGTTAAAGATCTGAACAAATTGTTGTTTCAAGGTGAATATTCATACTTGTATTCTTAAAGCAGTACAAAAGGCTAAATATTTTTTTTTTTTTTTTATTAGGTACCATACAAGCACCTGTAGATTATTTTAATAAACCCATAGCATGCAATGTAGACTAGACATGAATGGTACTTATAAATGATTTTTTATAATTTATTTAAAAATAACACTAGTAATTAATTATTCTAGGTTCCGCTGAAGACAAGGAGATTTATGTAAACAAACTTGAGCCATGGAATTCTGTAAAGGTCACCATTACGGTGCCACGAGAAGCTGCTGTAAAGCTTCAACAGCTGGCACAACAAGGAGATTCCAACCTTTCCAGATTAGGAATTTTGTCTGTTCAAGTCGAAGGGGATCAAGTATGTTAATATATCAAAAATTTTATATCATAAGATTTATATTAAAAGAATTATTGCCTAATAGTCTATTGAATAATCTAAGAAATAGAATATTAATTTTATGAATTAATTTGTTTTCAAAATATGTTCAATATTTAAAGTACAACTTAACTATAAGTCAAATTGATTTTTAGATAATTTCCTTGCGGCTTGGAAACAACCGATTTGGGGGGGAGAGTCAAGAAGTGGTGTTACGAACAGCACCGGGCCCTTCAAATGCCAATCAACAGATTTCTTCAGACGAAAGTACTGCTGTGAATTCATTGATCAAGGCAATGGCATCTGCAACTTCTCCTGCATTACAAACATCTTCGCAACTATCATCCTCCCAGTTCAAAAGTCCAAATGTAGTGGCAGTCGATTCCACTCCATTGCCTCCTATTCCCCCTACGCCTTCTATGGCAGAACCATCCCCAAGACCCCACATATGGCCATTTGTAAGCATGAACCAAGCTGCTCAGACCATACACAACCGAGAGTCAATGCATACTGCACCACCACCCCCTCCACCATATCCAGGATCTCAAAATGGAGTGTATAAAACCCAAAGACCAGGAGATGCTAATGCATCTGTACACTCAAGTCCATTATTGGTTAATTTATTACAAAATGAAGGTTCAGGTAAAATGCCACCACCAATGGACAAACATAAGAAGTCTATAATATCTTCTTCCAATGTGGTTAAAACTCAAGATAGCTTTTCAGGCCCCGAGTTCACCCAATCTGCATTTGCCAACGTAGCCTCAGATTTACAAGTAGTTCAAAGGTTACAAAAACTGCCTGATACAGTTACCAACAGTGCTCAGAATCGAATAGATTCAATTGGATCTCCTAATGGACCAACTGGACCAAGGTTGGTTAAACACAATGTGCCTTCCCAAGAGCTTTCACAAACCTCAAAGATAGTCAGCACGCCAAATGTACAAACTTCTTTTGCTGTTAGGCAAACATTTATATCAGGTTCATCTATGGCCCAAAACCGTCTTCAAACTGTACCCCAAAATATCACTATCACTACAAATCAGTTAAAACTTAATCAAGGTTATGTTAATCAAATAAGGCAAGGATCTGGTCCTTTAATGGCTAAACCAAATATACCCCAACAACAATTTAATCAGTCTCAAATAAGATTACAAACCCAATATAGTCCAGCTGCCTTACAAAAACCGCTACAATCAAATAATCTAATACAGCAAAGAACTGAATTGATGTCTACACAAACAACAAATGTTAGTTGTTATGATACTACTTCAGTTTTGCCTAAAAATCAATCAGTAACAAACCAAAATCTCTCTCAGACTTCCAACAACTCATTCCATTCTATGCCTAATAATAATCAATCCATAAGTATTGGACAGTCAACTAATTCTCTTAATGAAACACCTCAGCAAAACTCAAATAACCATATACAGGGTACTAATCATGGACAGTCAGTAACTGTAAATAAAAAACCTGATCCACCATCAAATGAAAATCAATTAATGCAAAGGTTGACATCTAATTCTCAACCAACTGATAATACTTCACAAGAATTTCAAAGAAGTGTGGTAACTAGTCAACCAGCCAAATCCCCATCCTTAACCTCTTCTGGTAAACAAAGACAATTTCTTATTAATCCATTAACTGGAGATATGGAACCAATGTCAAGTGATAGCAGTTCAGAGAGTGATACAGAAGATAAAATAAAAAATATCCCAGTGTCTGATGATAATTTTTATAATTTTTCTTCTCCTGTTACAAATGATCGATCAAATTCAGTATTTTCTGAAGATGAAGATACCGGATCTCCAACTTCTCGACGGAATGATACTACTACTGATCAGTCAGATTCAGAAGCAACAGTTAGATCTACTAATAGTGAAGCATCTTCTCGACATCGTTCTAGCCCGTTACCTACTCCCGGAGAAAAAATTAAACTTAGATTAAAATTGACTGAAAAAAAGGAACCATATAAAGTAGATGTATCATTTGGAAATTCATCTTTGTGCAAATTAGATAAGAGGCCATTTGGAACTCCTTCAGCATCAATACCAGGTTCATCGTCAGCTGAAGAATTAAGAGTACCTCCTCTTCATATTTCTCTAAGAGGTAGAAATGCTGCAGTTGTTGTTGGATCACGTAAAGAAAAGAAATGGAAAGACTCTGATGATGAAAGTAAAAAACCTACAGGGTGTAAAGTAAAAACTAGCATTAATCATTTGAAGACTAAAAATTCAAATCAAGATCTGTTAAAAATGTGTTCAAAACAAATGAAAGTAGAAAATATTGAAGAAGACGAGACTCGAGTTAAACTAAAAAGGCTTGATGAAGTTGAGGAACCTTCGACACCTTCAGTTGATTCTAATGAACCTGCAAACAGTTATAACCCTATTCTTCCTCCTGGTAGAATATATCCTACTGAAGCAGAAGTTGCTTCGATATTACGTTCTATGCCTAGTGATAAACACAATAAAATGAGTTTAAGTTTTAACAAAGTAAAAAAAAGAGAATCCAAAAAAAAATGCCTGCCTCGTGAAAGAGCTGGATCTATTGATGGACCAAATTTACATAGAATTATAGAACGACCTCATTCAAAAGCAAAAATAAATAAAAGTAGTGCTGTGTCACTTTTTAAAAATGTAGTTAAATCATCAGCAGTTAAAGAAGCCAGAATGATTGCTGCTGCTACTTATGGTAATAGAAATAATTTTCATGAAAAACAACGGGCTTTGAACAATGTAAATGATGCTGCTACACAGCCAAGTGGATCACAATTAACTAATAATCAAAGACGGGCAAGTGTTGACATACCTTACACAGGTAACATAAACTTAGTCATTTAAAATATCATAATTATTTAGTGACTAATTCTATTTGTTTAGGTGCACATACTTTGAATACTTCAATGGTAAAACTCAACAGGCCATTGGGAGGTCAGTCCCCTGATGCATATCTAACAAATCATTTTTCCAATCATCTTTTAACTGGTCAAAAAACTCAAGGAACGAATATTTTTCATAAAGATATGAATAAAAAATCTTTAACAGTTATTAGTCGAAAAGTGACGAATTCTAAAAGTAAAGACAGTAGAAATTCGAAATTAGAAAGTGGTGTAAAAAGAAAAGAATTTCAATTAACTACAAAAAGAAGTGAAAATTTTGTTCAAACTTCAAATTGTGTTACTGTTGGATGTGTTCAAGTAGAAAAAAGAGATGAACATTTATCGTTACCTATTACAGATATTGATGTATCTGAAAAAAATGTTAAAAAACGATTACTTGAAGATTCTTTGCCACAAGTACGAAACACAGTAAGAATTGATGCACCTGTAATTGAAGATGTAAAATGTGATAGAATTCAACCAGAAACTAAAAATTTGAATGGTGGAGATAGTCCAGCAGGTCATGGTAATACACAAGGAGAAGATTCAGGTATTGAATCAATGGATGCACTGTCTGAAAAAAGTCCTAATCAAAGTGAAAGTCCCTGTCGAAAAGATGATCAATCAATTAGTCAGAAACCAACTATAGCACTAAAACAAGATGAAACAAAACTTCAACTGATATCAGTAGAACAACCAACAACTGCTAATTCACCTGACCTGGATGATATCCAGCCATTTCGTGTGACTCCTGCATTGTATACTTATTCTAATCCAGAAAAAATTCGTGATGATTCACCACCGGTTTCACCAAAATTAGATATTGATGATATTCTTGATTCAACTGAATCACACATTGAAGGATCAAAAACTGATGATATAAATTTACTTAAATTAAAGAAACGAAAACGACTGGATTCTGAAGACAGTAAGACTGACAATGAAGCACCTGTGATGAAAAAACCTAGTGAGTACAAAATATTATAAATTCCTTACTTAAGGTTAATTAATTAAAATTTATCTAAATTTTAAAGATATTGAAAATGAAATAATAGGAAAAACTGATATGACAACTATGAATGACATTCAAGACAATAAGTCATTGCTTGAACAACTTTTAATAGATATACCTACTGATTCTGATGCTGCTAAAAAGTCATCAGTGGTCTCTACTAGGAGCACACGTTCTCATAGGTACTTAACCTTATTTTTATAAAATGTAACTTTTATAATCACAATTGTTATTTTATTAGAACAAATGCACGAGTATCTGTACCAGTCACTTCAGGCCAACAATCTCAGCCTAGTTTACCATCACCCACCCGTCGTTCTAATCGCAACACTCATCCACCTAATAGAACGTGTGCTGGCAAGTCATGTGATAGATCTGCACCTAGTAAAACTATAGAAAAAAAAGAAAAGGCACCCATATCAACACCAATTAAACTTGATAAAACACCTCTTAAATCCAATACTGTAGCTGCTACGATAAATACTAGGGCTGCTAGTGCTTCTAAGCAAATAGTGTCTTCAACCTCACCACTATTAGATACTGTTCACTCTGAAGGAGAAAAACAGACTACTAGAAGAAAAACTCGTAGTGCTTTGCCAAATAGTAAGTAAGAATTTTATATAAATTTATACAAACTTAACTCGTTATTGCTGAATTATAAAAATTCTCACATAGTTTTTGTGTTGAGACATTGCTCATTGTTATATTTTCTGCAAAAATGTGTCATTGATTTTATAACAAACTAATATATTTGTTCCAAAATTATATTATACTTATGATAAAATAATTTAATAAAGCAAAACGTTCTACATGTGACTAATAGTGTTCAAATTATGTGTCCAAGTTATAATAGGTTACTTATACTACATAACTTAATGAGTCTTAAAAACAAATGTTTATATATATTTTTTATTATTTTAATTGAGTAAAAATTTAAATAGAAAATTTGATTATATAAATTAAGGAAATGAGTCGAATTTGCCTTAATATAACTAATAAAAATTTACATGATAGAATTAAAAAAAAAAGTGTAGGCCATTTCACTTATTATTTATTACTAAGTTTATGTAGGAGCCACTAAAATATTAAAAGGAAATTTGTTTTGAATTATGATATGGTGTCATGTAAAAAATTTGTAACCATTAATAATTTGAGTTTTAGGTGTCCAAAATTATGATATATTTTAATTAGTTATGTAAACAGAAATTAATTATTAACTATTTAACAACCTAACTTTGTTTAAAATGTTTTAAGTTATATTTTATATAAAAACTTTTTTGAGAATTTGTAGGTAAATCTTAAATTTCTTTAAACTGTTTCAAAATTATTTTAAAACAATTTTTAAACAATACGTTTTATCAATTCAATATAGATGTAGTAAATTATTTTGAACAATATTTAAAAAAATTAATATTCTATTTATCTTATAGCAGATACAGAAAATGCAGCACGTCGCCGGCGAGCATCGCGTGATGGCAAATGACATACACAACCGGTGCCGACGCCGACGACACATACTACTGCGTCATCTCCGGCAATCGCCGTCGGACCCGGGTAATCTAATCAATACTTTAAAATAATTTTATTATTCATCATTTTTACCACTTGTTAGTTATTCTTAATGTATTTTGAAAGTTAAAGCTTACACATATACATTAAAACCAATTTATTATTATTTTTTTTTTTCAAATAGAAAAAAATGTAATTCTTTAGGAGTATTAAATTGCTTGTCATTTAAACTCCTTTAGTTATAATTTATTTTTTTTATTATTTAAATTTGATTTCCCTTTTTTTATTATAAAATATTTTGTAATAAATAATTGTTATTTTGTCAATGCTGTCTAAATACCTTCTTTTTTTTTTTAACAAACTGTTGGTTGTTGCCTTATGTATATTTTTTATTAGAGTTCAAAATTAGTAATGACATAATTATTGATTTAATTTAATTAACTATATTATGCTTGAATATTTTATCTTTTTTCTACATCAATGTTTCTTGTTATGTAAATATAAGTGTAAAATAATGTTGGACATTTGTTGCGTTTTCAAAAATTATAAAAAATTTATTTAAAAAAAAAAAATATTATATTATATATTATAATAATAATAATAATTTGTAAATTTTTTTTATTTACACTCAATTTTTGTAAAATGTGTCATAGGTGTCTTGTGCATTTTGTTGTCCCTTGAACATTTTATGTAAATAATTTCACATAAACCTAAGTTAAACATTCTTGTAAAATTTAAGAACTCCTTGTTACTCGTGTTTTTTTTTTTTNTAATCTAAACAATCTTAACCGTGAAAAAAGTAAGTGCAATAATTTTTTGTGTGTGTAAATAATACTTTTTTAGTGATAACTATAATAATTAGCTACACATTTTAAAGACAAATTTCGTTAAATTTTTATTTCCTTTCTGTCATTGGTGCAATTATCACAGAAACACTATTTGGCAGCTTAAATACAATTAAAAATTGATTTTCGTATTTATTAAATTTTTAAATTACATAAAATTTTATTTGCATTACACCTTTATATAATTATTGAAAAATTATAGTAAATAAAAATTTGTAATTGTTTAATTTTTTTATAGTAATTATTATATATGGTATTGTAGATTCTATTTATAAAAAATTAAGCGGAATTGATGTATATATCAGTATACATTATTTATAAATGTATAATTATATATTTGAGATGACATATACACATTTTATTATTGTAAATAGTTGTTCAGTTTTAAGAAATATATATGTTTCAGGTAATTATGTTTTATTTCATTTTTATTGCATTAATCTATTTTCTTAACATGATAATTGTCATACTATTATAATATTGAATTTTACCATTTCATTATTTAAATTTGAATTAAGTGAGTAACAAACAATTATGGATTACTCGATTGATAATTATTGCTGTAGGTATTCTTAGTTAATCAATATTTCTTATGAATTGTTTATGAAAGCTGAATGTCATTTCATAAAATTATAATTTTTGCTTTAAGTCAATGGTTCTAAGTAAAAAAAAATGAAATAATTTTTTATACACCACTGCATTAAAACTGTTAATATATAAACCATTTGAACAAAAAATATTTTTTTATAATTTTTTGAAATATTGCTTACAAAATTTCAAAAACAAACGCGTAGTCATAAAAATCAAAATAATAAAGCATTAAATGGCGTAAGGCAGAACTTATTTTTAAAGAACTAAATCTAGTTGTTTTTTATGTTAAATATCTAGCAAATAGGCTTACAATTTTAGGGAACTTATATCTAAAGTCTAGAAATAACCTTAGTTTAAAGTCTACAGTGAGTTCCACCCAACTTCTATGAAAAAACTAAAGTTTTAATAATAGAGAATAGATAAAAATTTTAGGAAGGGAATACACCACGCATTGATGTTATTTCATAACATAATTTAATCTTAATAGATTTTTATTTGAATAGGAAGACTCGTTTTTTACTTCTGTTAATAGATAAAATTCTGACGATATATACTATAGATTCTATAGTTATCTCGTCTTGTTTAAAATAATTTATTTTATTAAATTTCTATTAAGTTATATGCATAAAAAATTTTGATTTTACTGCTTTTAAAATTATTAATAGAAAAAGTCGACGCCGATAATTCATGTGTAGACTAATCACTAGGAAAGTGAGTGATTTTATGGAATTATTAGCGGTAAATAAAATTAAATGATATCATATTTTTGTATTTTTCTGATATGAGATGTATTAATATTACATAGCCATTTAAGTTTCTTTTTTCTTATTTGATAAATAACGTAGTCTTTCAATATCTATTTTTATTAACATTCGAATATATACAATGAATTTCTTTTTAACCATTTTTTGGAATAATTATTCTGAATACAAAAAAAAAATGTATTTACAAGACTATATGTTGATTATTTATAAAACATGCATAAGTGTTTACTTAGTTTCTACCTATTGAGATTTAAAATTTTATTTAAAAAAATTGCTCTGATACCAGTTGTGGTAATTATTAACTTGATTATTAATTTCAACTTATTATTAAATTTGATTTATTAACAAATAATACACTACACCAATAGAAATTGTTCGATATAATATAATATTATATTATATTGTAAATCTCATACAATATAATATATATGTACGCGAAATTTTTATTTATTTCAATGTTATAGAACAGTAAGCAACTGCCATAACCCAAAAATTAATATTTTATATATAAGATATTTATAAAAAAAAAATGTGGTGTCTTTAAATCTGTTTTATTTAGTAACATATCCCCGTTAAAAAATTATTGAAAGATTATTATTTTAACAAAAACCTCTTAAAATCTATAGTAGAACTTGAATTAAGCGGAGTCATGGAATAAAGGTACCTTATTTTTCCATGAAAATATACGATGATACGTGATTTGCAAGTTTTCAAATACAAAAAATAATTATTGATAATATAAATGTACAATAGAAAATTTTAACATATTTATTCAATCACATTTTGTATGTATTAATATCTAACAATTTTGTGGAGTTAAACTTATACAAATCATTAATACTACAAAAATTCATTTTTTAAANTTTTGTATGTATTAATATCTAACAATTTTGTGGAGTTAAACTTATACAAATCATTAATACTACAAAAATTCATTTTTTAAACGTAAGTAATCATTTAAATCTATTGCACAATTAATTAAGTTTAAATAAATAATTACTATCAAAATTTGTATGTTGTATTTTACATAAAAAAATTTAGTAGGAAGATGATGGACAATTTGGAACCTCTGACTACAGATAGTGGTCGTATGGTAAAAATGGAGGTAGATTATAGTGCCACTTGTGACGAAAAAATTTCTGTTGCTGAAAGTCTAGCTACGAGTGGTAAACTTCAAGAAGCTCTTGATGTACTTCTTGCTCTTGAAAAACAAACTAGAACTGTAAGTTAACACAAAATAAGATTACATAAAGATGGTATCAAATTGTCTTAAAATTCAAAAACATTAAAATAAAATTAATTTATAAATATTTTTGTAAAATAAACAAATCTAGTATTATGTAGTATAATTTATAATATATTAATTATGTACCTTATGTCTGTAACAGTATTACTTATTGTATTATATATTTTCTAAAAATATTAAAATAGATATAGTTTTATAGGTATAAAATAATATTTTAATTTATTACGGTTAAATAGTTAAAATTTTAATCATACATATTTGGTATATTCAAATTATTTAAATGTAAATGTAAATTTAATTTTGATCTTGAAATTTTTACTTCAGTAAATTATACAAAGGAGATCACTTTTATTAACAATAGTTTAAACTGATAGTTATAAATATATTGTCATGCAAAAAATTTCAAAATGATGTTTTAATTTTTTTTTAACAATAATATTTATTTTTTTAGCCTTTTAATCTTAAATTATTTAAGATTGAAAATTCATTGGATTACTTAACATTTTTTATTATTATTAAATTTAAACAATACAGCATTTATATATTATAAAGCTTGTTATAGAATTTTTGAACTTAAATTATTAAAAAAAAAAAGTGGAATAAAATGATTTTATCACTTCATGCACTATAGTGATTGTATAAGTGGTGCTTGAGAAAAACTATTTTAGTCTAAAATGTGTAAAAATGAGTTAATGTCATATATTATTAAAAAAATACTTTTTTTTTTGTATAATGTAAGTACTATAATATTTATACTATATTATATTATAGCCATTGTATATTTCAGACAAATTTTGAATTATGAACTTATTTTTACAAATATTTAAATTTTATAGTTTTTCCCTAGAACCATATATGGTGTTCATTAAGTAAAGAAACAGGTTTCTATTATTCTCATTTTGTAAAAATTGACCTGTTCCCTTATTTACTGAACACCTCTATATAAAATATTCATTAAGTATTTCATTTTTGAACTCACTGTATTCAATTGCATTGGTTATTACATAGTTTTATGTTTTAAAACTTAATATTATTTAAGGGATCAGATATGGTATCGACTAGTCGTGTACTGGTAGCTGTGGTACAAATGTGTTTTCATGGTAAGCAGTGGTCTTTGTTGAATGAGCACATAGTTATGCTCACCAAAAGGCGATCACAGTTGAAGCTTGCTGTTGCAGCTATGGTTAGAGAATGCTGTGCATTTATCGACCAAACTCCTAATAAGGAAATAAAGTTGAAACTTATTGAAACTTTAAGAAACGTTACTGAGGGAAAGGTAAATGCAAATCTAATTAGTTAAAGTATAGTTGTAAGTTTAAAAATAATCGAATTGTACTTAATATTTTTTAGATTTATGTGGAGGTAGAAAGAGCTCGTCTTACACAAAAATTAGCAAAAATTAAAGAAGATGAAGGTGATATAACTGGTGCTGCAAACATAATACAAGAATTACAAGTAGAGACTTATGGATCTATGAAAAAACAAGAAAAAGTAGAAATTATTCTTGAACAGATGAGATTATGTTTAGCAAAAAAAGATTATATTAGAACACAAATAATTGCTAAAAAAATTAATACTAAGTTTTTTGATGATGAAAAATCAGAAATTCAGCAACTTAAATTAAAATACTACAAGTAAATAATTAAGTTTTTCTTTTATCTGTTTTTATTTAATAATTCTATGAATTTACAGATTAATGATTGAACTTGGAGAGCACGATGGTCAATATTTGGATATCTGTCGTCATTATAGAGCTATACAAGCTACGCCTGAAATAGAAGCTGATGCTACCAAAAGAAATGCTGCTCTTCAAAATTCTATTTTATACCTGATCTTAGCTCCTTATGATAATCATCAATCTGATTTAACACACCGTATTTTACAAGATGAAGCTTTATTGAAAATCCCTAAGTATAAGTATGTATCTATATTTTTTAAATTAATCAATAATTAATACAAATAGTATAAGATTAGATTTATTTCAAATAAGAATTTGTAATTATTAAATATTAAAAAATGAATATTACATTTTATAGATCTTTTTTGCAATTGTTTACTACCATGGAGCTTATACAATGGAAAGAGTTGTGCAAAGAATATGAAAATGAGTTAAAATCTGGAGTATTAGCAACTGATGTATTTTCTAGCAATACAGAAAAGGGTACTAAACGTTGGACTGATCTGAAAAACAGAGTTGCTGAACATGTAAGTAGTTTTACAGCTGATAGTCTTTTACTATTTTTCTTTAATAATTTTATTTATTTATGTATTTTAAACTATCAAATAAATATTATATATATATATATATATATTGTATTTTGTTGTAATAAATAAATATTTTTTGTAGAATGTTCGTGTAATGGCAAAGTATTATTCCAAAATTAGAATAGTAAGGATGGCACAGCTTTTGGATATGAAATTAGAAGTTAGTATCTTTTAAAATAAGTTTTTTTCCTGGCATAACATTTCTTCATAATTCAGAGATACATAAATAAATATTTTAATCATATTAGAATAACATTAGAAAATTAAGTTATACTTTAAGGTAATATAATTCAAATACACATTAATATTAAAATGAATTCTAGCTAACACAGGTGATCTCAGAATTAGTTCTAATATATAAGGGGATGAACAATATTTGGACGATTCTTATTATTTGCGGTTAACTGAATATTTTGAGTTAAATTTTTTTAAATTATTATTATACTATAGGACTATGAAAATATTAAAAATATTATATTTTCAATTTATTAAAAAAAAAATAAAAAAATTTTTTTAAATTTCCAAAAAAATATTGAAATTTGAAATAGATTTTAAGAAAAAAAATTCTTATTAATTGTCAGTAGTAAATTTTCTGTGGTATTTTAAAATTTGTTAAAATATAAATTGTCATGAGTTTACCTAAAGATATCAAACAGAAATGTGAAAAAAGATAGAAGAAAACACTTTTTTTTTGTCATCTAGATTTTATGAAAAAATTTGGTAGCAAAATTATATTTTAACATTTTGTAATTAAATTTATACAATATTTTAAAGTTTCTAAAAATTTGAATATTTATGCATATATTAAATATATGCTTGAGTTATGTATTTTTCCTATGAAAACCAAAAATTTTAAATGAGTAAGGAATATTATTAAAATATGTTACTCTTATGACTTTTACTATCAGATTTTTTTTTGTGTGCAATTGGGTAGGTTCTTGTTTTAGATAATACTATGCTGGACATCATGTTTTAAAGAATGCTAATATTATATTAATATAAATTTATAAATATTAGATCTTTGTTAAAACAATGTATTTAAAATATAAAACAATTAAAAACAACTTGAAGGAAAATCTACCAGGCCTACTTCTGTATTTAGTTGTTTTATCTATATTGCGTATAAAATACAATTTATTTATACATATAGTTGTCTATTAATTATAGGTACAATATTACAATAACCTAAAAAAATTGATGAAAGAAAGCAAACTTTAGTTTTGATAACTAATTTTACTAAAAAAAATTTAAGTAAAATCAATCAGTCCATTACCATATTATATTGAGTAGCGGTTAATCCCATATAGGAGATATATCCTTCATTCTCTCCTTTTCATATGTTTTTGATAAAAATTATTAACTTTTGAATGAGCATCTGTTGACGCAGTAAACAATTTCATGGAAAGTTTACATACCTATAATCCCAATATATTTAAAGAACTCACCAACTACTAAAACGTCAAGCTTATTTAATTTTATCTAACAATAGCTAATATAAAATAATAGGTATAAAAGTTCCCAATACAAAACATATTTTTTGAAATTGCTGGGGTATTTACTTACTTCACGCGCCCAACTAATGGTTAAACTGTATTTAGTGTACACATATGTTCTACTTTGCCCTTTTTTTAATTAGATATGCCAATTTTTGATATTGTAAAATAAAAAAGAAAATATTCAAATTTTTACAAACTTCAAAATGTAGAAATTTAGTTATAAAACATAAGATAATTTTGCTACTAAATTTTTTCCCAGAATCTACTTTAAAAAGTTGGTTATCTCAATATGTTTTTGATATTTATTGCAAAATTAAAAAAAACAGTAACATAAAATTCTAAGTAAACCAAGTTATAAAATTTGTCAAAAAATCATGAACCATCCTATGTATTACTTTTATGTCTAAATAATTAAATAATTTAATATTTTTTTAGGATACCGAACAACTATTATCTAATATGGTTGTTGATAAATCTGTAACAGCTAAAATTGATCGACCTTCAGGTGTTGTTGAATTTTCTGTTGTGAAGTCTGTAAATGAAGTTTTAAATGAATGGTCATTTGGTCTTAATGACCTTATGCGACTTGTCAACAATACTACTCATCTTATCAACAAAGAACAGATGGTTCATAAACATTTACTATCTCATTAATTATGTACAATCTTCTGTATCGTGAATCATTTATTTTGTATTAATAATTTAGTAAAATTTAAATTCTTCTCCATTATGTTAATTTTTTTTAATTATAATGGATTTATTAAAAGCAAAAATGATATTTTTACATTGATTAAACATAATTAAATTAAAGGTGGGGGGATTGGTATGTATTGAGTCAAAAAGATATTCTACTTAAGCGTAATTTAATTTTGTTAAGTACCATAGGAGGAAAACTTTTAAATATCAAATTATTTACAAATAATTGTAAATAGTGCTTATTTAACTAAGTACATTAGGTATCTTTGTTTTTTAATTATTATAATCCAGCAACAATAATTCTTGGATCCTCAACGGCAGCTTTTATTTTACGTAAAAACAATACTGCTTCGCGACCATCAACAAGTCTATGATCATAAGTTAGAGCAATGTACATCATGGGTCTAATAACAACCTATTAAAAATTAAAAAATACATTGCATTTTTAATTCAAATATGATTTCTTCAATAGAATATTACTTGTCCTTTTAGAGCTATTGGTCTTTCAAAAATCCCATGCATTCCTAGGATTGCAGATTGAGGTGGGTTAATTATAGGAGTTCCCATAAGAGAACCAAATACCCCACCATTACTAACAGTGAATGTACCACCATCCATATCTTCTACATCTATAGCTCCTTTTCTTGCTTTTTCTCCTAGAGCAGCTATTGTTTTTTCTATATCTGCATAAGTCAAATTTTGTACATCACGCACTACAGGTACTAATAAACCCTAAAATTGTTTTATGTAATTACAACTGGGAAAAAGAAAGCTATTTAATACATGAAAGTAAGTGTACTTTGGGAGTAGCAACAGCCACAGAAATATCTACATAATCTCTATAAATAATCTCATTTCCTTCAATTACAGCATTGACTACAGGTTGATCTTGTAAAGCATAAGCTGATGCTTTTAAGAAAGCAGACATAAAACCTAGTTTTAAACCATGTTTCTTTTGAAATGCTTCTAAATTAGTTTTACGAAATTCCATAATTGCACTAAAATAAGACAATTTGAGTACTTATAGAATTATTAAAAAAATTATATTAATAATAATTACCTCATATCAACCTCATTAAATGTAGTCAACATGGCATTGGTGTTTTGTGCATCCTTTAAACGTTGCGCAATACGTTGCCGCATACGATTCATTTTTACACGATGTTCAGATCTTGTACCAGATATTTCTTTTGTGGGATCAGCTGGTGGTAGTTTGACAGTAGGGTTGTGCCTTAAGGTGGCTGGTGAAGTAGGAGGAGGAAGGGGTACTGATTTAGGTGGCACTGGTGAAGGTATTGGAGCTGTTGGCTGTGGAGGAGGTGGTACAACCGGTTGGATTGGAGGAGCAACTGAACTAGTTTCCACTGGTTTAGATGGTTGCTCATCTGTTTTAGGAGTTTTTGGTGCTGGTACACCTTCTAAAAAAAATTAAGAACTTTTGTAAAATTAAAAATTTTTGTACTCATTTTTTTCCTTTTTTTTTTTTTAATCTACTAATTAATTCAATATTTCTTAACTGAAAAGATTTATTTCTTTTTTCTTTTATTAAATTATTACCCGTAATTGTGATGGTACACAAATCCTGATGAGCCTTAACAGTTTCTCCATCTTCAACTAATCTTGAAGCAATAATTCCATTTACAGGTGAAGGAACAGGGACTGAAGTCTATTATAAATTTTTTTTATTAAACAATAAATATTTTTCACATATATTTTTAAATTAAAACTAAATTTTTTAAAGAAATAAAGAATTCACAATATAATTATTAAAAAGCCTAACTTTTAAAAGATAATTCACTTTATTATAAAAATAAATATTAAGTAAAATATTTAATTTCCCAAATAATGATAGAAAATGATATATAAAAACTCCATTATCATTAATGATAAAACTATTTTTTTAATATTAAAAATAAAAGTAATTTGAGACACACTTTATCAGTTTCAACTTCACAAACAACTTCATCAACATGAACTGTATCACCGACATCTATTTAAAAATAATTATATTATTATTATAATATAAACTATGAAAGCTACCATTGCTGATTGAATATACATAAATATTTCATACTTACTTTTTTCCCACCTTATGTCACCCTCAGAAACAGAATCAGCAAAAGCTGGTGTTTTTAATATATGTTCTTCACCTATAATAAATTTGTTTGCAAATTTCAAATCTTAAATTTTCACAAATAGTATTAAACTGTTTTATATATAAATTTATCAACTTAAATTTTAATAAATGATAAACTATCAGAACAAAATCAGATCAGTATTTTTTTAATCAAATTATAATAAAATTTATAATTGTGATTGATATACTGAGACTTACATAAAGAAGAAGTAGTTTGAAAGAAACGGCATTGATCAAAATACCTTTTGCTGAATAAATTACTCTGAACTAACATTCTAAAAAATATTTAAGAATAAGTATTATTAAAAAAAATTGTGATGTGATATTTAAAAACCATGAGTATATAGTAGAAATATTTAATTTAGAAAAAACTAGTATTTCTCAAAATATTAGTAAAACTTTTTCCATTTAAAATATCTATTCCAAATTTAAAAAATATACAGAATGTTTTAGATCTAACGACAACATTTACAACTTTTGATTCAATTATCATTTTTTTTAAATGTTTAATTTAAATAATTGTTGCTTTCTTGGACTATATTTAAAGAATAGTTCAAGTTTAAAAAGAAAATCATTTTTTTCAAAATTTAAAAATAGTCGCTTTTTAAAAGGTTTTGTAAGAACATTTTTGATAAATTGATAACAATCTTAGGACTAGTACTCATTGAGATACAAGCATTTTAATGCATAGAGTGGGTATGTAATGAAGGTGAGTGCAGCTCGTACTAACGAATGTTTACTAAACCTTCATTCCATACCCACTCTATGTATTAAAATTCTTATAAATCTATGAGTACTTGCCTTAAAATTTTTTGCAAAGGCTAAATAAAAGGTTACTTTGAAATTAAAAAAAATATATTTTAATAGTATAAAAATATACTATTAATAAAGTCTAAAACTGTAAAAAAAATTAAAAAAAAAAATTTCATCAAAATGATAATGCAATAAAAAGTAATATGCATTGTCAAATAGGTCAGAGACACTCTGTATAATACAAACTTTTTTAACAATATTAGGTAACAGATAAGTAACCCCTGTAATTTTTAAACTTTATAGACAAGCAAGATGAAAAATTAAAATTTGTCATCAGGGATAAGTGGGGTAATTATATAAGTTTTTTTTTTTTTGATAAATGCACAAGTGTTTATTTTGAATTTACATTTAATATGGTAGCAACACATAAAAACCACAAAGTTTTCAATCTAAATTAAAATATGCTAAATATTCAACAAGAAAAAAAATTATAATTAACCCAAATTATCTACATTTACACCGCTTCATCTAATATATTACTATGAATAAATTATTTTTTTACATGAATTAGTGGCCTATTGTAAAATATAATAAATCTCTAAGTTACAAATGTACAGGTGTCCTCCTAAAATTTAAAAATTATAATTTTAATTAATATCATAACTACTATACCCTTTTTTATAATATAAAAAATTATATTATATTTTATAATATAAAAATTTAAATCTCTTAACTTTACACACAGTTCAATCATAGAATTCGTAGAAAAATGTACCTAGTAATATATCTATAACTTACTGATGAGACATATCTTTTGTAGCTGTTGACAACCCTCTTGAGTTTATTTTCTTTACAAACCGCAATTTTTCAGAACTCTATTAAAAAAATAATTCAAAATTATTCAATAATTTTAAATCTCTAACATAAAATCACCTCAGATAAAAACTTGATTTTAAATTTTTTATTTTTTAAGGCGTTTTTTGGTAAAACCTTAACAATGTGTAATAGGCCGGCCATTTTAACTTGGGCAAAACCACATTAAATGCTAAACTTAAAATTGTAGCACAGACACTTATTTTGATGTTATGTAGGTCGTGAAATTATTTCTGAGTCTAATATATTGAAAAATGAAAGGGTCAGCACTTAATTGGAACTTTAGACGCTCAATTGAGAGGTCATCCAACAAAATAAGCCACCTAATTCCAATCACAAATGATAAGAATCGTATGATAATAAAATTTTAAACACATGTTTTGAGGACACATGACAATTATTACATTTTTTTTCATTCTGAAAAAATTTTTTCTTTATTTGTGATATTTGTACAGTTCTATTTTATAATGAAACTCTGTAGTATACTTTTTATAATAACATAATATTCATATTGTTGTGAAATAAATAATTTCTTCGACATTGTGGGTAATTTTTAAAAATATATTTCTATTTTTCTTTCATAAACCCCCAAAATAGTCCGGTAATAAATAAAAAAAAACCCCAGCACAGTGGGGTCGCGGCATAGTGGGGATGTTGCATAGTTGGGTCCAGTATAGATTTAATCTGACAGTGATTAAAATCACTATCATAAGAAACGCTTCGATGCAAATCAGTAGATAGTGTTTAATTCTAAGAAATTGGTGGATAATTACAAAAGCTACATTATCTGCTAGTTTCTTATTAATACCCTGATTAAGATAAAGTATGTCGAATGAAAAAGGGATTATTAAAAAATATTATTTCTCATAAAAAAATTGTGTTGATTC